TGTTTTGGCCTCCCCCCTTTCTGCTGCCTTTCCCCCCGCCACACTGTGGCTCCAAAAAACCCGGTTTTGGGGCCCCCTGACTGGCCAAATGGGGAAAATGTGGGGGTGATTCTAAATCGACGGCACTCATCGCATGTCATAAAATGCCCGACAGTATTAAATTCTCCCTTCCCCCCCGACTCCAAGGGCATTTAAATTAAAGGAAAAAGTGGGTTTTGCAATAATAAATTTAAATCTCTCGAAGCCTTTGAAACACCCTTTTTTTAATTTAAAATTTACAAACGAATATAAATTTGACTCGAAACGAATAAATTTCCACCCAATTCCCGAAAACAGTCGAAACGAATTTTTTTTAATACTTTCCCCACATCTCTAATTGGGCCCCCCAAGAAACACCAAAAAAATTTTAAACACATGCCAAAAGTGTCCTTTCCCGGAAAGGTTTTGCAAAACCTGATTGGGAACCCCCACATTCTTCAGGGACCAGTAAATTTTCCCCTAAATTTCCCGGCCAAACCCGGAATTCAGGGGGAAACAAACTAAATTTTTTCTACTCCCCTTTTATTTTTTTTTGAGCTGTTTTTTCAGGAAGTACTGTTAAAGGATTAAATTTTGGATCAAAACAATTTTTTAAAAGCACAACAAATTTTTAAACGTCGCCAACCCAAATGGGGTATTTTTAGGGTTAAAAGAAAGGCCAAAAATCAAAGGCACATAAATACACAGGGTCTCAAAAAATGTTAGGGAGTCCGGAAAAAAAGCTAAAACCATTTTGAGAGACCCAAAAAATCTGGAGGTTTACAGTTTTTAAAAAAAGGTTAAAAAAAATAAAGAAGAAACAAGAAAAATAAAAAAATAAAAAAAAAACAAAAAAAATTTTTCTGAGTTACTTTTTTTAATTTTTAACCCCTTTTTTTTTTTTTCTTTCCCCGCACAAACCCGCAAAAAACCCCCCCATTTTAAAAAAACCCAAAGGGGTCCCGCTTTAAAAAACATACAAAAAGTGTTTGGGCAAACCCCAAGAAATTTTTCTAGCAAAAAAAACCGATTTTTTTCATTTGAACAAAAAGTGCCAGAAAAAAGGGTTGGGCTTTTAAGGGTTAAAGAGTGAGTAATGGTGGAAAAGATTCAAAAGCGGGGATAAAATTCCAAGAAAAAAAACCCCCCCAAATGACCCCTTTTTGTAAAAATAAGACCCCCCCCCAAAAAATTTGCTGAGAGGCATGTTTATTCAAAGAAGAAAAAAGGTTTTAAAACCCTTGGTTTTTTTTTCCCCACAAAGGGGTCAATTTTTAAAGATATAATTTCTCCCCCAAAATGCCTTGAGTAAATTGGGTTTAATAGATTTTTGTTACTTCTTCGAGTAAGAAGAAATCGCATGTAAGACTTTTTGGCAGTCTTAAACCAATACAGGACCCCAAAATCCAATAAGCAAACCCTTTAGGTTTTTAAAAAGGGGTTTATTTTCCTCAATTTTGCTTTCCAAACCCACCCCAACACCGTTTCCCGGGGGCCCTGAAAACCCCACAGAAACAAAAATGACCCCTTCCCCATTTTATAACTGGCCTTCCCCACAAGGGAAACACAAGGGAAAGGGAGCATGCAAACAATAAAAGAAAAAAATTTCCCGCTCAAAATTACCAAACCCGCTTGCAACCAAACCGAATTTTGCCAAAAGTATGTTTTAAAAACAGGGTTTAATTAAGCACACATTTGCAAATACATGCCCTAAGCCTGCAGAGCCCTTCCCTGGCACCCCCCCAAAAATTTTCTGCCCGTTCCTAACGCTTACAAATTTTGAGAGCTCCCCTAGTAGAGGCACATGTATTTAATGGATAGGGGAACCTGAGGGAGCCCACCCCCCTTTAAAAAAAAAAAAAAAAACAGAAAAAACCCCAATGCCAAAACATCTGGGTGGGAAATTTTTGACGGGGGGCCCGAAAAAAAGTGTGGTATGAAAATCCCGGGTAGGGAAGGGCCCTGAAAAAAAGCTTTTACCAAAGATGCCGAGCTTGAAAAAAAGGGACAGATATATAGACCATGCCAATATTTGATTTAACCCCCCCCCTATAGCCCCGCCAAATTTTCCAGTGCCCCCCCGCCCCACCAAATCCCAAAAGTACAAAAAATGGCCACTGCCCCCCCTTCTAATTAAAAAACAAAAGGGCAGTTGTCCCCTTTGTTCATCTTTCCACACATTTTTGTAAAATAAAAAAAAACAAAAACATATTTTTTTCCCTTTTTTTTTTATATTTTAATTTTTCCTTGTGAGAAAAAAAGAAATCTGAAAAATACTCACCATGCCCCTTAATTTTAAAAATTTTTTGGGGGATCTACTTTTTTGAAAAAAAAGGGGTTTGGGGAGTTTGGTGCAAAAACCCGGCATTTCAGGGGCCTTTCCCAAAAATGTGATAGATAGTGAGGAATTTTAAATTTTTATTATTATTAATATTTTTAATATACAGTATTTTTTAGCCCAAAGGGTATGCTCAGCCTGGGACATTTCAAGGGGGACAGAAAATTAGACAAACAGGGAACAAAACATACACAGGGGTTTGAGGGGCCCGCTCTTTTCCCACTTAAAACTAGGGGGGAAAGGGGGAAAGGGGGAACAGGAGGGAAGGCTGTGGGGGATGGAGGGGGTGTTTGAGGGAGGGGGGTTTGGGAGAAGGGGAGGGGGGGGGGGTGTAGGGGGAGGGAGGGAGCGGGGGGGGGGGGATGTAGAATGAGGGGTTAGGGGGGGTTGATAGGTGCGGTGTGGTAGGGGGTGGGTGGTGGGGGAGGAAGTTAGGGGGGGACTTGGGTGGGGAGGAGTTGTATATAGGGCCGGGGGGGAGGGGGATATAGAAGGGGAGGGGAGTGGAGGGAGGGGTGGAAGGGGTGTGTGGGGAGGCTATACAGGGTGGGAGGTGGAGGATAGGGATGAGGTGGTGGGGAGGGTGGGTAGGGGATGTTTAGGGGTCAACCTATGGGCGGGGGATGGGTGGTGGTGGAAGAAGAGAAAGGGGGGGGAGGGCGATGACGGCATTGCATGAAATGTGCAATTAAAAAGTTAAAAAAAGCACAGCGCCGTTTTAGCAAAAAATGGCTAAAAAACCAGAACGGGAAACCCTAGTTTTAGAAGCTATAACTTTTCCCCATTAACAATTAAAAAAACACTTTATGGGAAAATTTTTTTTACCTAACTCTCTTTAGGCTTTTAAAAATGCTGTGAGGGCCTCGTTAAGAACAATTTTCCCGTTCTGCCAAAAAAAATTTCACCCCAAAAGGGGGAAATGGGGAATAAACCTGAAACAAGGACAAAAGACTGCAAATACTAAAGAAAAAAAATTTTAAAATTTGATGGCGGTACACAGAAACACTGTACCCCCCTTAAAAGCGGGCTGGGTATCAAGTGAATTTCGTGATTGGTCCCTCCCCAATGTCCACATGGGGGTTAAATTTTCATTGCTGGTCCCTCCCCCCCCTTTCCCCTTTCCTACAGGGGGGGGAAAATATATCAGTCATTCCAATTTTTTTTCCTTTGGGAGAGGGTAACTAAAAAGATATAAAAAACACAGATGAGGTGTTCAAAAATAAAGGAGGGCGTGAAAAAAAAAAAAGGGGGGCGGAGGGTGGAATCAGTTGGGGGACGGGGTCTGGGTGGGGGCGGTGGTGGATGAGCCCGATGGTGTTAGGTTTATGTTTTTTGTTTTTTTAATAAAACATTTAATTTATATAATTTTCTAATCTCTCCTATAATATTATATTTTATATTTTTAAATATATCTTCAATTTTTTTTATTATTCCCCAACCCCCCAATAATATTTCTTAATTCTTAATTTTATAAAAACCAATACGCCCAATAATTACATTACATCTCCCAACCACTCACCCCCCACACTCAAATCCAAACCCCCTATAATATAACCAAACACAACAACCTCCCCCCCCATAGATATATTTAAACCACCTCCTACTATTTAATTTATCTATATTCCTATTCTATCCCACCCCCCCATCTCCCCACATATAGATATACTTACCATACCCCCCACACCCTTTTTTAAATGATTTTTGTGTTTTGTATACTATATACTTTTTTTTATTCATCTTTTAATTTAACATACACACACAATTATAATAAGTGTTATATTTAATTTTGAATTATCATTCCACATTGTTTCCCCCCCCCCGGTTTTTCGTGGTTCTTTAGGGTTTCTCCTCTATGCCGCGCTGGGGGTTGGTGACCCTTTCTTACTATGGACTAATATATATTAGGGGTCTGCAGAGAGGGCGGGGGGCAGACCTAGACGGGTGTTGAAGAGTAATCAGATGGGGGGGGTACAGGGACCCATGTCACACTGTGGGAACCCTGCAAGCAGCGTGACCGAGGCGGGTACGGGGATGGCTCCAGATGGCAGATTTAGGGGGGCCTGGCATCACCTATGGATTTATGCGCGTCTGGTAATCTGCCAGCAAACCTAAGTGACAAAAAATTTGGGAAAAAAAACCAGCAGGAGTGTGAGGAGAACCTGAAAGTGCGGGGCACATGGCAGAGTATGTGGGAGGAGACAAGCAATGGCGAGGCGAGGGTACAGGGACCCATGTCACACTGTGGACTTGGCAGCAGCTCTATGAGTGAGGCAAAGTGCGGTATATAGGGGCCCTGGCAGGATGTAGGGGCCTGGCAGCAGCTATGTGAGGACCGTAATCAGCCTGACACCCTATGTCAATAAAATTTAAACACACAGCAGTGTGCAAGAGACCTGTAAGTGGCACTGGCAGCAGAGTGTGGACGATGGAGGACAGCAGCAACGGGAGGCCGTACAGGGACCCATGAGAGACTCTGGACCTGGCAGCAGCATGAGGAGGCGGTATAGGGGCCCATGGCAGATTAGGGGCCTGGCAGCAGCTATGGGAGGCCCGTAATCTGCCAGCACCCTATGTCAAAAAAATAGAACACACCAGCAGTGTGTGAGGAGACCTGAAAGTGGCACATGGCAGAGTGTGGCGATGGAGACAGCAGCAATGGGAGGCCGTACAGGGACCCATGAGAGACTCTGGACCTGGCAGCAGCATGAGGAGGCGGGTATATAGGGGCCCATGGCAGATTAGGGGCCTGGCAGCAGCTATGGGAGGCCCGTAATCTGCCAGCACCCTATGTCAAAAAATTCAACACACCAGCAGTGTGAGGAGACCTGAAAGTGGCACATGGCATGAGAGACTGTGGACCTGGCAGCAGCATGAGGAGGCGGTATAGGGGCCCATGGCAGATCAGGGGCCTGGCAGCAGCTATGGGAGGCCCGTAATCTGCCAGCACCCTATGTCAAAAAATTCAACACACCAGCAGTGTGAGGAGACCTGAAAGTGGCACATGGCATGAGAACTGTGGACTGGGAAGCGCATGAGGGGCGGTAAGGGGGCCCCTGGCATATCGGGCCTGGCAGAGCTATGGGGGGCCCGAATCTGCCAGCACCCTATGTCAAAAATTCAACACACCAGCAGTGGAGGAACCGAAAGTGGCAATGGCGAGTGTGGCGAGGGAAGCAGCAATGGGAG